AGGCGGACTCTCAACCGCTGCGCCACCAGGGAAGCCCAAAATTTTAATTTTAATGAGGAAAAGAGAGAGGAAAATTCACTCCCAATAATCAAAAGTATATGCAATAATACTAATATCTTGATCATAATCATTGTTTTTGACCTTTCCTAGCTCAAATAACTCAGCTACTTTTACATAGTTGCAGTGTAGAACCATTTTGTCACTAGTTAATTAGAACCAAATGTCCTGACAAGGTCTGATTCTTTCTTTATTCTCAGAGCTGTGAATCTTTTTTCTTCCTGGACACAACTAAAGTGAACTTCGTTCCTGTCTGATATTTCTCCAGCTTCAAAAGTGGAAGCACCTGAAGCTACTTTGTTGAAGGTAAGTGAACTAGATATCTGCAGTGAATATTTGTTTCTTTTAAATTTTAATCGATACAGGCATGAATGATCTTCTTATTATATGAGGATGCATATAAAACAATGCTCAAAACAATGCTTTTATTACAGTAGCTAAGATTCACAGAAGGAACTGAAAATGCATGAGTGATATTCAACACCTGTATCTTTTTCTCTTGGGTTATATCGTTCTATAGGATGAAATAATGATGGTTAAAGTTTAATAATTCCTTTCTATGTTTTTTTAACAACTTTATTGGAGTATAATTGCTTCACAATGGTGTGCTAGTTTCTGCTCGATAACAAAGTGAATCAGCTATACATACACATATATCCTCATATCTCCTCCCTCTTGCGTCTCCCTCCCACCCTCCCTTGCCCACCCCTCTAGGTGGTCACAAAGCACCGAGCTGATCTCCCTGTGCTATGCGTCTGCTTCCCACTAGCTATCTATTTTACATTTGATAGTGTATAATGTCCATGTCACTCTCTCACTTCGTCCCAGCTTACCCTTCCCATTCCCTGTGTCCTCAAGTCCATTCTCTATGTCTGCATCTTTATTCCTGTCCTGCCCTTAGGTTCATCAGAACCATTTTTTTTTTTTAGATTCCATATATATGTGTTAGCATACGGTATTCGTTTTTCTCTTTCTGACTTACTTCACTCTGTATGACAGACTCTAGGTCCATCCACCTCACTACAAATAACTCAATTTCGTTTCTTTTTATGGCTGAGTAATATTCCATTGTATATATGTGCCACATCTTTATCCATTCATCTGTCAGTGGACACTTAGGTAGCTTCCATGTCCTGGCTATTGTAAATAGACCTGCAATGAACATTGTGGTACATGACTCTTTTTGAATTATGGTTTTCTCAGGGTATATGCCTAGTAGTGGGATTGCTGGGCCATATGGTAGTTCTATTTTTAGTTTTTTAAGGAACCTCCATACTGTTCTGCATAGTGGCTGTATCAATTTACATTCCCACCAACAGTGCAAGAAGGTTCCCTTTTCTCCACACCCTCTCCAGCATTTATTTTTTCTAGATTTTTTGATGATGGCCACTCTGACTGGTGTGCGGTGATACCTCATTGTAGTTTTGATTTGCATTTCTCTAATGATTAGTGATGTTGAGCATCCTTTCATGTGTGTGTTGGCTATCTGTATATCTTCTTTGGAGAAATGTCTATTTAGGTCTTCTGCTCATTTTTGGATGGGGTTGTTTTTTTGATATTGAGCTGTATGAGCTGCTTGTAAACTTTGGAGATTAATCCTTTGCCAGTTGCTTCAAATATTTGCAAATATTTTGCAAATATTTTCTCTCATTCTGAGGGTTGTCTTTTCATCTTATTTATGGTTTCCTTTGCTGTGCAAAAGCTTTTAAGTTTCGTTAGGTCCCATTTGTTTATTTTTGTTTTTAATTTCCATTTGTCTAGGAGGTGGATCAAAAAGGATCTTGCTGTGATTTATGTCATAGAGTGTTCTGCCTAGGTTTTCCCCCCTTTCTATGGTTTTATTAGATAACTAACATCATAGGTTTTTCATGAGACGGACCCCTGAAATAAGTTTGAATCTCAGCACCACCATTTGCCAGAGCTGTTAATTGTAGACAAGTCACTTACCTTTTCCAGCCTGTTTTCTCATCTGTTCTTCATGGTGTTGCTGTGAGGACCAAGTATTCTAATGTATATGAGGTCAAAGGACAATGGTAGTAGTAGCAGTAGTTACAAATTAGCTGGAGCAGTAATTCTGTACAAGCTTTCCCTATATCCTCCCTAGGAAACTTGATGTAAAGGCAATTCCATTTTTCCCCAATGTTGAATGGGCCGTATGGCTGGCTAGGGCCCCTCTTTCTTCACATTCCACCTGTGTCCCTCAGGGATGCGTATGCGGTTGAACTGGTATCCTTCCAGGATGGAGGGAAACTGTTCTTTCGTTCAGGGTACACCTCTAGGAAACATGAGAATGAAAAATAATAAAAAAGAACCAGCCCCAAATGCTGTCAAATTGTGAGTACAAAACTAATGTTGGTTTTCATGTAGCTGAATTTTTTGTTAAAGGAATTAAATTCGAACAAAACTAGCTTTGGTCAAAGAAGTTGACCCAATTTCATACAAGAAATAAGGATGTTACTGGGAATTGAACAGTTTATTGCTAGAATAATAAAGACAACAAGAGGAAGAATTTTGGTCTCTTTTGTTCTCTCTTGAATCCCAGCTACTAAAGTTGTGCCTGGACTATAAGAGGTGCTCAATATATAATTATTGAATAAAGGAGTGAATGCTGCTAAAAAAAATAAAATAACAGGTGGACTTGGGCTGAATTTTAAGCATGATAAATGTGGCCATGTAAAATAAACTAGATAGCAGCAACATAGTTAAGCCAGGAAGCTGAAATTCCTCTTCTCTGAAGATCTCTAAGAGTAGGTTCAACTCCTATTTCTCCAAGATCCTGTCAGTTTACCTTTTGCAAAGAGGATAGGCCAGATATATTCTGAGGTTGAAAGGCTCTGGAACTCTCATGGAAAGTTCCATATATGCATGAAAGGTCTTTTCTCACCTTGGAACTTGGAGAGCTTTGCCAGGCACCACAAATATTTATCCACAGTTAGTCTTTTACCCCCAATCATGCCTTAAGACAGATTTTCCTGCTACAGATCCATTTTGCTTCTGACACTGTTTTGTTGCAAGCCACCTGTTACCTGTGTGTGCAGGTGATAATGACCCCAGTGATATTTATTCATAGTTCAGTTTTCCTTCACAGAAAGCAAGAAACACTTCCTCATTAGTATCTGGGCCGTATGTAAATAGCTGAATGACACTGTTTCTTTCTGTCCGCAAAGGAGAGAAATTTTGCTCAAGGTTTCACAGATAATACTGATTTTTTTGTGTCCCAGATCATGTTCAGGATATCATCATACATTGTGGTTCTACTTTCCTTTTGAAAATGGTCAAAGTACTTATTTCCTTTATGTGAATAACGCTTTATTCATTTAAACTCCTAATATGAAACAAGAATATTAAGATTTCATGGAAATTTTGGGTAGAAAACAGTGCTCATTTTATAAGCAATTGGAAATCAAATGGTAATTATTTTGAGAAAGATCTTTCTTATTAACATGGTGGGCTACTGACAATTGTTTAGGATAAGGTAACTAATTTAATAATTAAGTGACTATATTTGTTGCCAAAGTCTCTGAAAATGGACAGGTTTCTTGTTAAATGGTCTAATGTATATGAAGCCAAAGCACAATTTTTGTTGCTTTTCTTGTTTGGTTACTTAATAGGTACAGTACCAGAAATAAACCACAGCCTAGAAGCCCCCATCATAGCTAGAATACATCTCGGGAAGACATAATTGGAAGATAAGTTTGAACCAATGAAACCCACAGAGCGGAAAGATACCATTACAGGTTTAAAGATCATACATCTTATATACCTTATGATAAAGTTGATGAATCTGAAGGACCCAGATCGCTAAAAACCAATTTAGTTACATTGCATATGTAAAGAAAAGACAATGGGTCCAGTGAAACTAAGATGACTAACATAGCAAAAGACTTCAGTGCTCTCTACTTTGCTTTGAAGGTATAATTTATGAAGATGCTTTAAGGTCATATGTAATACAAATGACAGTATTTCTAGAGATGTATTTGTGCTCTGTAGGATTCATGAGTAATAATGCCTGGAGCACTCCAACAAAGGTAGTTGCATGAATTAATGGAGCAATCTGGGCATCAGTCCAATAAAAATGTTGGCTGAATGCTTCCTTGGGGGGAAAAGATATTGAGAACAGGAGAGTTATAAGCAATTGATGCTGGTTAAATAGAACATCTTCCTTCCATCTTTTCAGCTCGCTTCTGAACTAGGTCAGCTGTGTGCCTTTGAGAGAGGAAGAAGACTTTAAGGGGCAAGTTTACTTTAATGCAAAGAGTCAGTTTTCAAGTAACTTACTTCTTTTTGGGTAGACTGAGCTGAGTATGAAAACCCAGGCTTACTAGCAAGCCCTTAGTTATAAAGTCTCTGCATTTAATGCTGATATCTCAGATTTATGCTGCCCACTTCCTATAAGATCAAAGTACAATATGTAATTCTCAATTTCAGTGCAACTACATATTTGAATAAATTTATTTTGTGTTGGGAACAGTGGGAAGAAATGGAGTCAGTTAACTAGGTCTAATAGGAAGAGTTCCCTTCTCTCTTGGCTTGAGGTCTTCCATGGGGACATAAAGAAATAAAAACTCTAGGCTCATAAGAACCTCTGTGTCCCACTTGCCAATCAAAAACAGAAGGCAACTGGATGTCTTTAAGTGATTGGTAATGGGCATGGAAGAAAAGAGCATGCTATGGAATAGTTGAGCTGGGTGGAGTGTCACATGCTTTTTAGAATTGGTCTGAAGGTCACTCTCTCCATTTATAGCCATGGAATGGATGGAGACCAAATTCAGTGTCAGAATGTTTTAAATCCACCCTTATTCTATAACTTTCTAGCCATGTTACTCAGGGCAGGTGGCTTAACTTCTCTGAGGAGAAGTTTAACTTCTTTAATTTACACAATTGGAAAAATAAAACTCTCCTCTGTGTCTTACAATCATTTCCTGAGACGCTATTGAAATAATGTATGCAGATGTGTTTTGCTGGTTGTGGAGAACTATGCCATTGTGAAGTGTGGACATTATTATCCTCTCTAATGGAAAGCTCCCTGAGGGTTTATACCGTTCATAAACCTCTTCCAGCTGCCTACTTTATTTCCCAAACCCTCCTCCTTTGGCTCTTCCTTCTTTTTGTTCTAATTACATCCAGCAGGACAACTCCATTAGGAATTAATGAGCTTTAGTACCTTCATTTGCCATCTGCTCCCCTCCCCCTTTTAACAAATGAAGGTGTGTCTCAGCCTCAAGACCTTATGTTGACTGTAGCCAGGCAGATGCGAGTGATTCAGATGAGAAAGATTCTTTATTCCGTGGTACCAAGGTCACATT